GCGGTACAGTGCTTCAGAAGGTGATTGCAGGAGAGAGTATTATAGACAAGCGGTTAGTTTACTGCTATTCACTGAACTGAAAGTTCACATTGTCTTTAAGAAACTGTCAGCTCCGGGTCCCTGAACATCTTCGACCATCAGGAGCTTGCCCCAATCCTGATATCTATGTTCGCATTGATTTCGAGGATCAATTAGGATGGCACGATGATCTTAAGCCCATCATCTTTGCTGGTGAATGCAAGACGGAGAAGACAAGGAGCAAGAATACTCCGGCGCAACTGGCGGTGGCGTTCCATGCGACGCTGATCATTCTCATCTTGTATTACCTGGATAATCGGTCGAGTGGCAGCGATCCACTGCCAGCATGGCTTTTCCTGTATGGAATTGAATACACCGAACACGGCTTCTTTGTGCATGTTCACTTTCCATATTACCACTTTGATGGTCCAAACCCCGGCTGGGGATTCGTCTCTGCAAAGTTCACTGACGAGTTCTCAAAAGTGTTCAAGAATGGTGATACGGATCTGAGGTTGTCAGCCTTGGCCTTACTCTTCCGTATGCGGAGCCAGGCAATGTTTGTTATGGAGAAACTCAAGGAATGGAAGCGGGCTCCCAGAGTGCTTTCAGTGTTGCAAAGGCAAGCCGCTGCACCTGATTCTCTTGCAGGGACTTCTGGAGAATCTCCAAAGCGTAAAAAGGGGCCCAGGGTGACGCTGTAGGATACGTAGGACTCGATCTAATGATCATGATATTGAAGAAACCATATGTGCATATTTATATTGATAGTTTGACCAGTTTGATTAATAAATGACTTTTATGCATAAAATAAAGTGGGCCGATGATGCCACGTCTTGAAACGGATAAACTAAGAATTTGTGGAGGGCGCGATTGTAAGAGAAAGGGTAGCAGGTTAGAGCGTCGCGATAACCAAGACTTGATTTGGGCCCCGCTGCTGTTCACTGTGCTGGGGTCAGTCGGACCGTAACAGGGCATTCAGAAGAATTATCTATCAGCAAACTGGAACCATTATTTGATCATTCGATCGTCATCAAGTATAGCGGTCTGGTTGGGCGTGGCTAGCCCAATAAGCTTTTTTGACGTGTTCCTCCACTTATTGTTCACCTTCTCATCACGATCAGAGGCGAACACGGCAACCAACCCGGACGCTTGACTTTCCGGTGACGAAACCATAAACTGCTCATTAGCGTCGGGTTTTCTGTCGATATAATTGACAGGCAAGTACGCAGGCTCATGATCCTCATGCGACACTGAAGACCGCGCAGCCTTGGTCCAGAAACACCAGAGTATTATGAACTCATACCGTCGATCAATCTTTCATCTCAAAGGCATGGGATATTCAAAAGTCACCCGCCTGCCGCCATCCCACTCGCCGCACTATAGGCGCCAGGATCTGGTGAACACTCACAATATTGTCTGATATTGTGTATACCTGTGGAATATTCTAGAAGGTTTGAATGTGAGTTTGGTTGTGTGGGGGCCGCCTTGCCCGGATTCGGCCTACTTTCGATGTCGGGAAATGAGCCACTTTTCAACCACTATTTCTACCACTTTTCATCCTTGAAAACTGGTTCGGGGTTAGCTATATAAACCTGGGCTGTGAGTCATAAACAAATTAGAGCATCTCGGTCCCCTCCAACTTCCCCCCAGAATCCCCCCGCCTTGGACTCGGGGCTCTTGGCCGCACTTCACCCTTCGATCACTCGCTCGTCTCAAGGCTCGTCCTTCATCAACTCATGTCTAAACCAAGGAGTGCACGTTCTACCGTCAGCAAGCCCGGGGAATATACTAGCATCAATTCTTGGGCACAGGAGGCGCACAAGTATATTGGTAAATATAAAAGTATGATCTTCTTTCTATCATGGCATGGCCCAGAGCTGACGGCGCCAGGTGGCCCTCCAACTGAGGTTGACCTCGACACTCCGCCTCCTTCCCAGTCGTCGACTCGTAGTAAGCCTCGCGCTTCGAAGGCTACTCCCAAAAGAGGAACAAGCGTCTATTCACTAAGGGAGGAAGAAGAGGAGCAGACTGATAGCTTGTTCGACGGATATACGGTACCCTTTTTGTTCTCTCGACTGGCCTAGTTGCTGACATCGCCTTTAAATTTCAGGACCAACTTACGGAACCAGGTGATATTGATGTTGATGCGGTATGTCTCTTCAATCCCCTTTACCGTCTTTACTTATCTCTGGTCAAGTTTGCGTACATCCTTTGGGTCAAGGGACATATTTCCAATGAAAAACTGGAACAAGCCTTCGAGAGCGTAAATGATAACAAGAGTGCATCAAACTTCAAGAGGCGACTATCTTTGAACCCTGTTCTCTCCAGGATTCCTGAAAGGGCGGAATCTATTTGCAGCATGGATTCGATTTCCACTCGGCGCACGACCCGAAGCATGACTCAAGAAAAGAGGTTGATTGAAGCAACTATCTCCACGAAGGGGCCTTCTAGACTGGCGAAGATCGTTACGATCCTCATCGAGGGGGCCCTTGCTCCAGGTCGTCCTTCCCCTGAACGCCTCCGGTCATCAAACTCCGAAATCCTCAAAAAGCAAATGGTTTCGACCTATCTGTCGAATGTGAAGAACCCCAGTCCTCCCTTGAGATTATGGGCAAAAATTCGCCGTGAAGGTCATTACGATTCAACCAAAGAGTGGCTCATCCGCCTTAGGATCCCTTGTTCGATTATTCGCACAAATTCAGACCACATCACTACAGAATCCTTTTTTACATTAGATGAGGACCAAAGCTTTGATAGCCTTCCTCCGGACAGTCTTTATGCGTCGTCTGAAGATGGAGAAAGCGATGATGATACAGAAGGTACCGAAGTCACAGAAGACACAGAGCCTGCGACTCCTGATAGACCCATGCGCTCAAGGTGAGACATTTATACACGCTCAACAAGACTTTCACTGAGATCCATTCAAGTGCTATGACTATATCTGATATGAAAAAATGTAATTGGGTTTTCTGGAATGAAGTACCCGGAAAAAGCATTCACGGTTCTTCTGCGTCAACTCCAGACGAGAAAGTCCCAAAGCCATTAGGAGACATCACCGTCTCTCCTCGCATACCAAGAATGCCTAGGGTTAGTGGTAGGGGAGATCAAAACCCACCAGGGCTTCAATCCAAATTGTTGGTCGAGATCCACCGGCAAATGGATGAATTGTCCTCACATATCCTATATCTGCCTAAACGCTGGAAGGTTTGTGACTCAGCTTGGATTTGACTCTTTCTAATCTCGTTAAATATTTAGTCCATTGGGAAGATGAAGACAAGGCTTCCTGAACTGACCCTTCCCGATGAATATAAGGCTGCATTAGGAAAATCGGATAGGAGGGGATCCGGTTCAAAGATCCAGCAAACAAGCAAGACCCAGGCCACGACCCTAGCTTCCAACGGGTTCCCGTCAATCCAGAGCGATTGTTCATCTCACTCGGAAGAGTATTATGAACAAAAGCATCTGGCAAATGCCCTTCTTCAAGAGCTTTGTAAACGCTACCCGCTCACGGGCAATAAAGTCAATGATAAGCGTCAAGCCAGAGAACTCGAAGTCGTGATAAACGATTGGAATGCGATTACAACGCACCAGAATCGTACTGTTGACCTTTTTGGCGCTGTAAAACGGTCTTTGACGGCCCGTAGGAAGGTTCAATGGGTGTCTGACCAGGAGTTGCTCGAACGGGACAGAATGTATCGATCCGGCAATTTTACCGTCAACGAACGGATCTACAACTCCACTATACCCGAGCAAGGTATTATCACGGACTTTTGGTCTTATCTAAGTCCACGAGACGCGTTAAGCGAGGGGGAGGTAGAGAGCGGGACTGGCGCCATTCTCGACAAGATTATGGCAGGAGATGGGATCACAGACAAGCGGTCGGTTTATTACTCTTCATTAGAATCCCATATTAATGTCGCCTTCTAGTAATTGCGAGCTTCGGTTTCCTCTCCACCTGCAACCGTTGGAGGCCACTCCCCGCCCGGACAGCTATGCTCGAGTCAATTTCGGTGACGAGTTAGGCTGGTACGAAGACCTCAAGCCCATCATATTTGCTAGCGAATGCAAAACTAAGAAGACGCAAGGCAAGAATACTCGGGCACAACTCGCAGTGGCGTTCCATGCGACATTGATTATCCTCATCTTTTACTATTTGGATAATCGGTCGAGTGCCAGTGACCCACTACCAGAATGGCTTTTCCTGTACGGAATCGAGTTTATCGAACACGGCTTTATCGTGCACGTACACTATCCACATTACAACTTTGACAGTCGGGATGCTGGCTGGGGATTCACCTCTGCAATTTTCACCGACGAGTTCTCAGAGGTGTTCAAGAATTGCGATACAGGTTTAAGGCTGTCGGCTTTGGCTTTCCTGTTCCGGATGCGTAGCCAAGGCATGTTCGTCATGGAGAAATTAAAGGCTTGGGAACGCGCTCCCGAAGTTCTCTGGGTATTGCAAAAACAAGCCTACGAAGATAAGCACGGCCTTCTTTTGATGGATGACGCCACCCGTGAAGAGTCAACGAAGCGTAAATACCGACCAAGAGCGACTATGTAGGAAGACTTAGGATTCTCATCAATTGTGTGTCTGGGATTGGAAACTGATATGGGCATATTTGTACTACGAATGGTTTGATATGATTAATAAATGATTTTTTACCTATCAATGCATACCAAGATCCTACTCGTAGTGGATATAGTGAGAGCGCAATTGCTCCCTATACACACAGGTAGGTTTTTAAGATACCATGACAGCAAGCTGAGACATGAGAGCTGATTTGGAAGGTCGATACCCAGCCAGCAGCTAACTAACCGCTAACCGAATGCGATGTATATTCTATCCATGTCGATCTCGATCACAGATGGCTTTAAATCTCCACATTGGTATGATATACCTACATTTTTTCTATCAGCTAATCTTGCTGTAGTTGTCCAAGTGTAACCAGAAATAGTATTTTACTTTGCCTCCTACCGTTCTCTCTGGTGGTGAAGCCCATTATGTCATAGGTTTTCGTCCGAACAATTGGACTGTAAATCTTGTTTACCTTAGCGCGAGTAGTTTGCTGTCATTGCATCCCGTATTCGGGGGGTGTACCATACTTGAGCCTGCAGCGTGGATTCCGGGCGAGTGCAAATCTGCTGGCTTGACGTGGTCCTGCCCTGTACAGGGCTTGACAGGGCCGCCTATCTGCAACATCCAGGGCGATTTGGGTATAAAGAGCTGTATTCAACCAATTAAGAGTGTCTTGCGCTAGCAGGCTTTTCATCGCTGATAAGGTTGAGTTCGAACCTTGGACCCTGCCAGACCTGGTGTGGCACCCGACCTCACTTTTCTGCACGATGAGCACGTACAGAGGTCTATACACGGACTCGGTATCGATGCGACAGACCTCTTTCTTCGACATGGATGGCCCGGCCGCTCCTCCCGGCTCACCTCCAACGATCAAGTACACCGGTCCATGGCTGCAAACCCAACTGGTTATCTCAGCTTCGATAGGGATTGTATCTTTTCTTACGTTTTCATACTGTCGCACGAGATGGCCAGTCTTGTTTGCTCCCAGAACAAAGCTGAAAGGTAGGATAGAAACTGGTTGCGAGACGCGACATATGTGCTCACATAGCCCTATCAGCGTTTTCGCCGAGTGAGGCTCATATGCATCAAAGATTCTTTGCGTGGATTCTACCTACCATAAAAACACCAGAGCTCGTTATACTACAAATCGTTGGGCTTGATGCTGCCGTTGTACGTACCTAGCATCTGTTGCGCGCATCTCAACTCATTCGGGATTTTTTTCACTTTGGACAGCTTCTCACATTCTTCAAGATGGCTTTTCTTTTGTTTTCATTTACTTCTATTTTTGCTCTCTGTGTCATTCTTCCACTAAACATTTACGTGAGTTATTCGCAGCCCTGGTTTCTCCTTGTTTGCTGAGCACGTCAAATAGATGAAATATGATGGGGACGATTCCGACGAACCCAATCCAGGAGATGATGCCAGAGCTAGGTTCTTCAATGGCACTGATAACGACCCGGAGAAAGACCCAGACTGGCCTGACTTGTTCAACGCCTCCAATTCCTTCCGAGCAGTACAACTGGCCTTCACTTGGGTCTTTACCGCCCTCGTCCTCCGATCGCTATGGCGGAACTATCGCCAATATGTCAAAGTGCGACAGCTCTATTCCTTGGACCTTGTCCATTCGATTGCTGCAAGAACAGTCATGGTTACTGATCTACCCAATCACCTGCAAGGAGAACAAAAGCTCGCTGTCTATTTCGAGAACATGGGTCTTGCTGTGGAGAGCGTGAACCTTGTGCGACACGCAGAAGTTCTCAATAAGCTCATCGACAAGCGAACCGAAGTTTTGCTGAAGCTTGAGGCGGAGTGGACAAAATATGTCGGTAATCCTAGCTCTTTGGAGTCATACGACCCATCACAGAATGTCCGAAGCGATCATGCCCCGCTGATCGATCTCGGCGACCCAGATACCATGGAAAGCCAACCAGCTCGGGTAGTTGTTCCTAATCGAAAGAGGCCATTAGTTCGTCCTGGATGGTTCACACCAAAGATAGATGCGTTAGAGCACTATCAAAAGGAGTTCGAGGATTTGAACGAGCAAGTCAGGAAGAAGAGAAAGACGGGCAAATTCAAGGCAACTTCCACTGCGTTTGTGACCTTCGAGAAGATGTCAGGGGCGGTATGTAGTTACTTGATTGTACGAATTGGTGACATGCAGCTAACGTCTAGAATTTAGCAAACAGCAGCACAAGTAGTCCACGCTCCTCAAGAGGGACAAACAACCACAGTGTTGGCACCGGAACCACGAGATATCGTTTGGGCTAATATGACATTCTCACCTCGAAACCGCATGGCCCGGGAGCTCTTCGTGTTCGCGTTTATGGTATTGCTCTTCTTCTTCTGGGCTGTTCCTGTCACCACGATCGCCGTTTTCCTCAGTTACAAGGAGATCAAGAAGACTTTCCCGTGGCTCGCCAATCTGATCGACAAGAATGCGACCATCCAAGCCCTTGTTCAAAACTCGGCTCCTAGTTTGGCTATGACTGGCTTGAATGCAGCCCTTCCTTTCATATTGGAAGGTGCGTCACAGGCTCATTGCAATATTGTACTACATTCTGAACGTTATTACAGGGCTATCATACTTCCAAGGTTTCCAGGCTAGAAGTTGGGTCGAATATTCCTTGATGAAAAAGTATGTCGTCCTCGAATCGGAATGATGTGACGCTCACCTTCTCCAAGATATTTCCTCTTCCTTCTCGTCAACGTCGTGTTCATTTTCTTGTTGGCTTCCACCTATTGGCAGCTCGTACGCGACCTCGCGAATTCGCCTGCCAAGATTCCAACGAAGCTTGCTGCAGCCCTCAGTGTGGGTAGAGCCAGGAACTTCTTCATGAGTTATGTCATTCTTCAAGGTACGTTATTGCCGTAGTGACCTGGCCTCTCAATTGATTGTTATACGACTAGCCTTGGGTATCATGCCTCTACAGTTACTAAATTTAGGGGTGATTCTCCCTCGCTTCCTTTATTTGTTATTCTTTACCCGGACCCCTCGAGGTGAGCGCAATTGTCTATTTGCGATGACCATCAGATTCTTACCACGTTACCAGATTTTGCGGAACTGAATGCTCCTCCTATGATTAATTACGGAGCTGTATACCCTCAAGCAATCCTGGTCTTTGTTATCACGATCACCTACAGTGTCATTCAGCCTCAGATCATGGCCTTTGGTGCGCTCTACTTTGGCATCGGTTATGTTGTGTATAAATACAAGCTACTATTCGGTACGTTAAATCACGCATTCAAAATCTATGTCATCTAATGATCCTTTTCCACTTTCCAGTTTTCTACAAACCCTATGAATCGCAAGGTCAGGCATGGCCCATCACGTTCGTACGCCTCATATGGGGCGTGGTCATTTTCCAGGTCCTTATGACGGGTATCTTTACTCTGGAGAAATATTTCGTCCTCTCTGTTATCATGCTGCCTTTGATTGCCTTTACGATTTGGTGGGGTTGGGTGACCTACCATCGCTTCGAAGGCCTCAGTTCCTTCGTCAGCTTGAGCACCGTATGCGAAGTTGAACGAGGACAGGATTCAGAAGACGTTGCGAGATTAAGGGCTGGTGCTGGCACTGTTAGCTGGTCACAGAGGTATGGATGTCCCGTTTTGTTTTCTCATTTTACTGACATGACTTTGTAGTCACTTGAACCGTCGTAGGTATGCACAAAATGACGAGACACTATATGTTGCTCCGGAAGATGAACGCACCGATTATGTTAGTATCACTCCTCCATGCTCCATAAACAAACTAATGGATTGGTCTAGTCTCAACCACCTATGACCAATTGGTATCATGGAGTCCTAAAGTTAGTACCAAACAACTGTCATTCTTGTGCATATACTAACTAAACACAGCACCGGGAAACGGCGATATGGTCATCCAGCGCTGACTGGGGTATTGCCAACACCTTGGCTGCCATTGAAGAAAGGACAAACATTGGCAAACTATGTTGAGCGAGAGTCCACCAAAGGTGGTGACGGAAATGCAGTCGTTCTTACACTCCGCCGACGGACCAGCAACATTCGCAA